ACGCACTGTTTAATGTGTTTGAGATGTGCTGTTTTCCTTAATGCATAACTTACATTTCACAGGTATATTCTCCATCTGTAAATGTTAAAAAAGCCATGGAAATATTTCCATTTTGCTGTCAGAACTGCATGAGCCTTCTGCTTTGCGGTGCTCTCCGCTAAACTTCACAGACTTCATTTAAAACGAGCGCCGCCGTGCGCACGTGCACCAATCAGAGGGAGCATGAAATAGGAGCGCAATAGCTCTGACTAAAATATACATTTTGCTGAAATATTTGTAGTTGGACAATAAATGTGACATATGTAGAATTTTAAACCTACCAGTAAGTGTATTTGTATGATAGCACTAACTGTAAAGTGTAATGGGGTAATCAAAATAGCCTTTATACTCAATTAGTCTGTGCTTTTTATTATTTTCATTTTTAGTTTAGTAACTTTAACTTCTGCTTTAAAAGGATTATTTTTGTTTTTAGATTGTAATGTTACAATGTTACAATGTAATGTGATTTTAACCCTTTTTTTGCACATAATATACATGCTTGCAGCCAAAAAATACAGAGATACTAATTTTTGCTCATATCGCCCAGCCCTATACAGAAGTGTACTGGAATTTTAATTAAAGTGTACTGGAGTTTTTTTTTTTTCTTTTTCTTTTTTAAATAGCATTAAAAAAAAAAACTAAATAGCAAAAATGAACTAAACAGTTACGGAAAACAGTAAACTGTTTACTCCCACTACACCCCCGTCCCCGTCAAACCCCCCAGTCCCCCATGCCCGCCACGCTGATGGTACTCACAAAAAAATTTCCAAGGTTGGCAGGTCTGATTTCGTCTCCTCCGCGTCACCCTGTAGCGCCATTTTGGAGAGTATCAGCTGGACGTAAACAGCGTATGCTGTTCTGTGTTTATCAATTACGGTTGAACCCCTGATGTCACATGGATTATTTTACCGATCTCCTTGCTACGTCTTGCTACAACATTTCAGTTGTATTGCTGTTTATGCAGGGTCAGACAGCTCTCAGATTCCATCAAAAATATCTTAATTTGTGTTCCGAAGATGAACGAAGGTCTCACAGGTTTGAAATGACACGAGGGTGAGTAGTTAATGACAGAATTTTCATTTTTGGGTGAACTATCCCTTCAAGACATCTAGAAACACACAACTTATGAAATATGACTTTTTAATTTTCTTGCAGCAATACATGGCCTCCAGTAGCTCTGACCATGTACAGCTGTTTGATCTCATAGAGAGGATGCTGGAATATGACGTCACGAAGCGGATCACCCTGGATGAAGCCATCACCACACCCTTTTTTCGTCTCGATGAGGAAGACCAAGAAATAAGTGATGGATTCTCTTGATTTTTGCTATTGTTCCTCTCTGAGAGAGGCCGTTTCAGTTGACTGTATCAGTCCTCTGTATAGATCATACACTGCCCTCTTCTTGTTTATATTTATTGTGCTTGTTTTTCCAGTTTAGGGTATGTGACCTATTGCTCTTGAGTTCTTCATTGATTTGTGCTTGTGTTATCGGCATCACATGACAGAATAATGTGTAACTGTGAAGGGGCAAGGTTTTAGGGTATTAAACATGTACGATAATTGTCATAGATTTGTTAGCATTATCAATATAAACGTAGTGATAATTGTAATTCGTATTTGATGTCTTTTCAGTTTTTCCTTGATTTTTAAATAAAATCGGTTCATGATCAGTATTGTTTGTCTCATGCAGGTGTAATGTTCTCAAGTGGGCAATAGGGGGCGGTAGATCACAACTTAATTTTCACATGCAAAATGTATTTCTGCTTATAGGAATATGGGTTTATGAAGTATTGTCGACGGGGGACAGTCTAAACGTGGTTTAGGGATAGTTTGGTTTATATTTTACATGTATTATATGCATATGCGTGTGTATATGTATATATATATGTATGTATATATGTTGTGTTTTTTTTAACAATAAAGCATGTCAACATATTCTGTTACACCAAATACACAAAATAATGATCTTTAAAAAAGCATCATATGACCCCTTTAATCATTTTTCGTTATCGTCATCGGATGAAGCATAGACATACATTAATACTGGCATTATTTGTCGATTATACGTGTATATATCTGGACAGTTTGGACAGCTGTACTACGGGCGCAAGACGAACAGAATGCATCCGTAAAATCTAAAAGAAATTAATTTTAAAATGTCACTCCACTAAATATTGTACAGACTAATTCTCACACTGATTCTGCGTGTGGAGAAAACAACCTGAAATAGAGAAAATCTCTCATAGATTGTTCACAGCTGCTTTTGGACGCTCTCCGCCGGTCGTTACACACACACACACACCGCGCTGAATGTCAAAGGAATGTGTGTGGCTCAATACCTAAAGAGCGCCCTACCTAGACAGTATTCGTAAACGTCACAGGCGCGCGCAACATTTTGGCAATTTGAGAATCTATGAATCGACACGCGTCTACGACAGACAAAAACGCTGTTCACTAGGTAGTCAGCATTCTAGGTTTTGGGACACACTCATGCTGTTCAAAGCACCGTGTGCTGCTCCGCGCTGCTCAGTCTGACAGCCACACCTCATCGATTAAGATCTGATCAATACTAAAAGTCATCTAACTATCGGAAACTAACTGGAGACTTTTAACAGCATGGCTCAATCTGCGGACGGAAATATAGAAAGCAAACAGAATGCTGCGAAACCGCTTTATCAGCGCTATTTAGTGTCTTTTCCAACCATAGTGTGTTTAGTGTTATCGCTGAGTTCAATAGCGGTGTGTTTTCTCATGACTTTCAAAACGCATCAGATGGAGAGCAGGCTGCGCGAGCTGGAGATAAAGATGACGGACATCTGTCAAGAAGCATCCAAGGACGTCTCTGTTCCACAGGAACTGCGGAAATCCCTTGAAACACTCTTACAGGAGGCAAGCATTTTAATTCTTCATAAAGGAAAGCTGCAACATCATATGTTTCACGTGTTTCTGTAGTATGTTATCCAATTTAATTTAGGCTCTGATTAATTTCCCGCTGGTTATAATTAATCCCATTAATCAACGCATAGCCTGCTCTTTGTTGACAGTGAGTTTGAAAGCTGTTTAACTAAGTAGTAAGGGCAAATTCACACATTTTTTTAACCAAAATAGTATGAAAGCTGAAAACATATCTATCTATCTATCTATCTATCTATCTATCTATCATAAAGGATTATATATTTATATAGCTTATAATTCTGCATGTGCAGCAACAGGTGCGTTTATGTGATAAGTGATTTTTAAATTAATAAACATGCTTAATTTATTTTGATTTTATTGGTCAATTCTTTTACTAAAGATAATTCTTCTCATTGTGGTGTATTAATTAAAATAAACTAAAGTGAATGTGCTATATATTCTTTCCCCTTCATATGTCAAGAATTACAGTATTTATTGCAATATATATATACAGTGTGTGTATATATATATATATATATAACACATTTATGTTGTAATATAGTAAATTGTGTAAAATCAACATAAATTACAAACGTGTAACATCTTAATAAAAGAATGCAGCAGAATAATCAGTAGGGTACTATGTAATACAATACTATTAGTGTAATCATACTATGTTGTTTGCCAGTGTTTTTATAAACCTTTTTAACTAAGCGGTAATGGCAAATTCACACCTTTTTTCCTCTGCAACCATGTAGAACCATGACCACCATTGACACTTCTGGTGTCTCTTCAATATTCAGATTACTGCTTAATCAGGATGGGTTTATTAATGACTGATTCTTAAAATTTGACCTTTGACCTCTACCCAAAATTTGAATCATTAATTTTCTCCATGTTGTTTATCATATTTCAGAGGGTGAATGAAGCGATGCCAAAGTTGCGTGTGGCGAGAGACGTGACACAAGACTGCAACTGTCCTCCAGGTATGTCCATGAATCTGCTCTCATAACAGACTGTTCAGTTCCAAAACGTGGGATGAAACCTGATAGAAACTGTGATAAATTCATCTATGTCTTGTTCTTGAACACTGATTGCAAAGCTGTGATGTGGATGAGAGGAGGGTAAATCAGTTGTAGATGGATAGAGTAGAGAACTGAAAGTGCAGGTTTCTGAGATTTGTCGATCAGATTAGATTCTGATTGCTCAATTTAAGCATTTTCCTAATAAATATTTTTGGATAAAGATGCTTAACTGTAAAGTCAGTTGATTTCCTACATAGCTGTTGTAGTTTCATGTCTCTCATATCATTCTTTTAAAGATACCTTAAATGTTTAATGTCTGTTTAGAAGTCATATAATTAGCCTTTCATGCTTTGAGTTTATTTAGTGATAATATTGGCTGACTGGAGTCGGGACGTCAACCAGCCCTAAAAATTTGAATAAGCGTTTGTTGCATGCAGGGTTTCTTAAGGCAATTACAAATCGCCATGATTATAGTTCACTTTACACAGCTCTGTTCATTTCCAATTGTGATTATAAATACAGAGGGAAGAAGAAAACGTGCAGCTGTTGTATATTGATGAATTGGTGGTTGCGGAGAGTTTTTTTTGGGCTCCTCTGTCACAAAATGTGGTTGTTAAACATGGGGTTGGTGATAACTTGAGTTTGGGTGCATTGAGAAACTTCGAGGAACTGCTGTCCTTCTTTTTCACAATCACTCTTTACATCGAGTCATGGTGCCTAGAAAATCCAGTGTTTCCATAAATGTATGCCGGGGATGTATCACATCTGAGGGGAGACATTGATGTCGCAGGACAAGAGGGAGGTCATAAGCATCTGTTTATAGGTTCTGAGCGTGAGTGTGTGTGTGAAGGGGCCTCAAGTATGCGTCTGTGTGAGTGTGTATTTCTGTTTGTTTGTGTGGGTACTAGTGCCGCAGATGGCTCAACAGAGGCACCGAACTGTAAGGTGAGACCCTTTCATTTTAGAAGCAATGGTTGCCACTTGAAACCTGAAGCGTTTTGAGCGGTCCTGGCAGGCAGGATCAGAGGGAGAAGTATTTCTGTCTCCACAACAGACATGAGCTCAAAGCTCTCGCCACTGGGCAGGTTATAGTGTCGCCTCCTACAGGAGCTGCTTGGAAGGACACTGATGAGAGGAATAGTTTAAAGAGCAGGTCATATGGGTTTTTGAAAAATAGCTCTTTTGCAGTTTATAACGTAGCTATACTTAAATGAAAACAATCTGCAAAGTTGTTAATCAAAAAAGTGCATGATAACTTAGTCACGTTAGCACTCGGCTAACGTATCCACCATTATTTTTTAAGTGTTTACAGTTTAGCAGCTAAACTTTAGCTGTGGGCATTCGCTTGCATAAGTGTTTTGTATTTTATGTCATTATTATAAGAACGGATTGGAGCACTATATTATTGTTTTATGCAAAGGTGCTTTGTCAATGGTAGCGCTCGCTAACTTGCTCAAGGACTCCTTTCTGTGCCAATCACAGCAGGCTTGGCCAGCTGACCAATCAGAGCAGAGTAGGCTTATGGAAGGGAGGGGTTTGCTCCGAACTTGCTTGGAACGAATCGTTTCTAAATCATTGGCAAATGATTTACATTTCTAATATTAAATGTATATTCTGAGAAAATTACAATGTTTTCTGACCTTAGATGCATTTAAACCTGTTGTAGGGCACTCCAACACAATATTTGGACACTTTAAAATACCATATGACCTGCTCTTTAAAACCTGAATTACTTTATTTGTTCCATTGAGCACAAAAGTTGATTTTATTTTTTTTCCAATGCAGTTGCAATTAATTATGCTTTTAAGCTTCAAAAAGGATCCAAAACACCATAAAAGTATGATAAAATACGTTTTTCTGTCTTCTGAAGCCATACAATTGCTGTGTGGGAAACAGAATAAAATTTGAGAAAACAATTTCTTTAAACTTCTATAATTTTTTTCACCCTTTTTTCAACCTTATTTTATTGTTTATTATTCTTATTACGTTTCATTCTGCTATAAGTTAAAGAACCCATATCTTATTATTGTTATTATTATTATTATAGAGATTGTTTTTATATATTATTATATGACATTTTTTTTATTGTGTAAGGCTTTGACAACCCATACATTAAAAATAAGATTTGAAAAAAAATAAATAAAATAAACCCATACATTATTATTATTATTATTTTAGGGCTTTTACCATTATTATTGATTGCGAAAGCCTTTTAATAAAAATAAAAAAAAAGATTTAGAAAATGGAGAGAATTAATTTTAATGTAATTAATTGATTAATTATTATTTTTTACTATTATTGAACACACCCTTGAAGAGTTGAATTTTTAAAATTGGAAAGAATTGACCGTGCTAACCACAATTGTGATGTTTTTTTTACTTTTTAAAGTTTTTCAAAACTGTAGAAATGCACTTGCAGGAGTTGTAGAAGGTCCCTGTCATGTCTTTCTCCTTAAACACATAGCTTCTTTCATTTCTACTTCCTCTATTCATTTCCACGGCAGAGTGAGTTCTCCCTAATTACCTGTCGACTGAGATGGTTGTCCTTGCATGCTAAACGATTCCCCGTCTGTTATCACCCATTTCCACCAAACACCAGGCCCTGTTTGACAACAAGCTGTAACTCTCAAATGAAAGCACGAAAGGTCTTTAACTCCCTGTCTCATTTTTCAGGCTTGCATGTTCTCCTTCACTCTATTTAGTCCTGGGAAAGGTTGGACAAGGTCAGGGATGCATTTCTCCCCTTTCCTACATTCATTGCCCTAAGGATGTATTGTCTTTCGTCACCCTTTTTTGAAAGTCGTCACCGTGCAACATGCTCAAGTCTATTCAGGAAACATCTGAGCTGTAGGTGTGGTGTGTGTTTTGTAGTGATTGACTGAAGCCAGGGGTCTCTTTGTCTTATGCCTATTTCACTTGAAGAAATGCTGATTAATTGATTCATTTTTTAACACACTAATACTTTGTGTAAATGGACTAGGATTATCTGTGTCCTGTTAGTTGTGTATAGTGAACCTGTAGCTCAAACAGTACAGCATTGCATTAGGAATGCCAAGATCATGGGTTCAGTTCGCAGGGAATGCATGAATTGATAAAATGTGTTCATTAAATGCAATATAAATGGCTTTGGATAAAAGCATCTGCCAAATGCATAAATATAAATGCATTCCATGTTTTGCCTAGTCTCAGCCTCAAAAGTCATGCTCATGGACCACCTGCTGAAAATCTGATGCATGCTGCACAGAAAAATGGCTAGCAATTTCTTGATCTGGCAACCTCAAATCTGATTTGCTGGCTGGTATCTAAATGATGCTTCACAGCATTATGTAGCTCAAACAGCAGAGAATGCTACTGATATACCAGGACTGAGGGTTTGATTCCCATGGAGCTCATTAATCAAAGGAATCGTTCACCCAAAAATGACAATTTGCTGAAAATGTATGCACCCTCAGGTCATCCAAGATGTAAATGAGTTTGTTTCTTCATCAGCTTTGGGGAAATTTAGCATTTTGCACCAATGGATCTTGTGCAGTGAATAGATGCCGTCAGAATGAGACTCCAAACAGCTGATAAAAGTGATCCACTAAAACTAAAACTTTGATTGGTCACTTTGCATGTTAGTCAAACAACCTTTTCAATCAAAAAATGCAACTACTAGACTTTGTGCTTCCTTGATGTCAATTCACATTTGCATGCGTATATGGGAGACTGGAAATACACTCATTCATAGACATTTTGCATTCCGTTGCAAATGAAAGTTCAAGTTTGGTGAACTCTGACCTGGCTTTGCATAGTCAAAGTCTTAAGTGGACTGAAAGAGTGGCCAGGATATCATACAGTAGCCATTTACCCATAGTTACACAGTTCTATCAGGCGCATCAAAGCACAGCTGAAAGTATTGGGCTCGTCTCATTTGAAACAACAGTGAAATACAGCGTTTCATATTTCGCCTGCTAGAGATTACAATATTAAACACCAGTGAATAATTCATCTCCGGCTTGTTAATGACTGTAAGTGGTATTAACATACAAAAGTTGTTAGAAAGGCTTAATCTGGATGGGTTTTTAGCAGCGCTCAGAAATCAGAGAGGGTTTTGGGTGTGGCAGTGGGATCTGATGGACTCAGCACTGTATTTACTTTCATCCCTCCAAAAGGTCCGGCTTAAAATATCCGGCCAGGGCATGTGCATATGTGTAATATCTCACTAGGAAGTGGTGCAATTAGATATGCTGCCCACGGCTGTGCAAAAGAGATGGGACATTCAACTAGGAATTAGGACTTTCCTTCTATTACACACGTACACATACTCACACTTGTTTAGTGGTATGCAGTTATGAATGCGCACATGCACATCTGTGTAGAACTGCTATAGAAAGCAGTGCTGGTTTTGCTGCAGGACTCATTTTGCACTGAATGTCAAGTGGCGACACTAGTATTTTCACTGTGTGATTTTTATAAAGTAAACATAATAACTTCTATATTGTTAGAAATATTTCAAGATGAACAGTCATGTTTAAATCATGTTTAGAAAAATCATGTTTAAATGTAAGTATCATATATAAGATATATCAGGATTTTGAGGAACTGTTGTTTATATGCTTTTTTATGTAAGTAGTCTGTTATAAAGATCTCATTGATTTATATTACAAGCTATCAGTATTTTTTGGCCATATAAATATCAGCAACTGCATGAAATTGCATATTTTTTCTCAATTTGCAAAAAAAAAAAAAAGTTTTTTTCTACTTGAATATGAGCTCCAGATTCTATATTGTACTATAAAAGGCAAAACGCCTGATGTATCACATACTGTATGTAGCCTATGGTATTCAACAAAATCACATATGCAAACTTTTGTTTAAAGATTTTTTTTTTAAATAGTCTTTTTTTTGTGATTAAGATTGTGATTAAAAATATTCTGACAATTATTTCATGTCAGTTTCAAACTTTTAATTAATTAATTT